AACCTCGGTGGCCTGTGACCTCTGACCCCGGAAAGGCCTTGGTGGAGCTGGGGCCTCAGGGCACAGGCTGTCTTGGGGAATTTTTCATCTCTCCTTTTGTGCCAGCAGATGTGCAATGCTAGGGGCTCCCTGGGCCCAGCCACACTTTTCTCACTTGGACCAGGGCCACGGTTCCTCCTGGCCCCCTTCCTTCCACCCTCAGTCCCCTGTGGTCTGTCCTCCCTGCAGCAGCCAGAGGGGCCCTTTTAAAACATGAGTCATCGTCCTACGATATGGATGAAACTTGAAGACATTATGCTGGATGAAATAAGCCAGATACAAAAGCACAAATGATGTGTGATTCCATTCGTATGGAGCACCGAGAGCAGTCAAAGTCACGGCCACAGGAAGTAGAACGGTGGCTGCCAGGCGCCCCGCGGAGGAAGGGATGGGGAGCGATTGCTTAGTGGGTACATAATTTCAGTTTGAGAAGATGAAAAATTTCCGGAAATATATAAGATGATGGTGGCACAACGTTGTGAATGTACTTAATGCCACTGCATTATACTCCTATAAATGGTTAAGCTGGTAAATTTTATGTTGTGTGTGTTATTACCACAACTGGAAAATAAAAGGAAGTCATGTCATAATTTGAGCAAAATCCCTTGACAACTTCCACCTTGAATAAAAGCATTCTTACACAGTCTGCACTCCCACCACACCCGTCATGTGCACACGCGTGTGCGCGCGCGCACACACACACACACACGCGCGCGCACCCCGTCCTCGTCCTTCCTCCCTCACTGCCCTGTGGCCACACCGGCTTTCCTTCTCTCTCCATTGCCTTCTGCTCGGACCCCTCTCCCCAGACCCTTCCACCACCCACCCAGTCACTCTCTATGTATCCCATTTTCTTCAAAATTTTTATTACTGTCTGCAGTGAGCTTGCTCGCTATTGTTTTACTTGTTTATTTTCTGTTCACCACACTCTCCTCATCATTCCTGACCCCAGAAAAGCAAAAGCCTGGCCCGTCTTGCTCAGGGCTGTAGCCTGGTGCCTGGAAGTGCTGCCTGGCACCCAGCAAAGGCCTATGAGCATTCACGGGATAAAGGAACAGACTGGCCTGAGGCAAAAAAAAAAAATGGGGAAGAATCTGTTTCCCTTTTCAACTGCCTTGACTGGAGCCTTTCCAACACCTCCTCTTCCTCCTAGATTCCCTCTTGCCCTTGAAAATCCGATGCACTTAAAATGGCCTTAAAGTGTCACACTCCTCAAGGAATCTTTGCATTCAATTAAGATCAAAACCTTGATCTTAACGATAAGATCGAGATACGCTGAGAGATTCGATTCCAATTGTGTGATGTCATGTGGTACCTCTCTGTACCACCTGTCGCTGGTAGAGGACATTATGGAGAGGTGGGTCGGGGTCCTTCTCATATCCTGTAAGTCAACTGGGTTGTAGTCAGATATAAAGCTAGTAGTGATTTGAGGTAAAATTAAAACGACCCTGCCTTGAAAGCTTCATCTAAGCTCTCTGCAAAAAAAAAAAAAAAAAAAGAAGCAAAGGGCAGACTGGAGCAGGAATCTATACACCTGTGATCCAGGTGAGAGCCACCTAGTTCTCAGCATTTCCCCCAAGGAAATGTATTTAGCTTCCGTTTCTACTACTGACCTGGTTACTCATCCACTTAGGACCAGAGAATAGATTTTTGTAGCCATGAGAGATGAAAAGAATTAGAACATCGGCTGTGCTTCTGGTGTCGAAAGAGAATCTGCAAGCAGGTGTAGCCATCACCTGTGGGGCCCGCCTGCCTCCCCTCCGAGACATTCGTTGTGTTGCCAGCATTGGATTTGTTGGCAGGTATCTCCAAGGGAAAATCTGACTCCAACTTCAGATTAAACTTAAGAGCCCGGACGGTATTTGTACTCCTTTTCCCCATTTCTACATGATGTGAGAACTCACTTTTTGCTTCAGCTGCAAGACGCTGCTGTGCCTCTCCCTCCCTCCCATTTTTATTACAGACTTGGAATGAGGCAGCCTATCCACCAGAATAGGGCTTGGAAATGCCACTCAATTTTATTGGTTTCCAAATACGGATTCTGTTTTGGCTGAAAATAGTACTAGGATTTTTGATTTATGGAGTAATGCCTTCTGTTCTGTCGTAGAGATTTTTAGGGCAGCTGGGTAACTGGGAGATTTGGGGAAAAAATCCACTCTAGAGAGTTGGAGCGCCCTCTGCTGTTCGCCCTGTGGTACTGTATATACCCACAGGCTGAGGTGAGGTGAGGTGAGCTGAGCCAGTCTTAGACTTGGAAGGATTCAGCGTGAATATGGGTTGCATAAGGTTCCTGCAGGTTGGATGAACAGATCTAGTTTTGGGATTAAAAAATAACAGAATAAACTGAAAATTGATTGGTTTACAGAGTAGCCTCCTTGATTAGTTTACAAACGACTGTCTAGTTCCTTTAGGGAAAAAATTATATGAATTATATTTCTTTTAAATTACAATAGTCAGAGCCACAGTGAGAGCCTGGGGACATCACATCAGTTCCACAGGAGGGGCGGGCGTTCAGGGCCACCACGCTATTCCATTGATGTGTAAGAACCGAGCTTTTCCTTCCTTACACTGCATGCAGAAAAAAATAGGGAAAAAAATATACCTTACACACACACACAAAAAGTATCAAATGTTGGTTATTGAGTTAGTTGCAAATTGTAACTAAAGAGTTAGCTATTGCTTTTTATTAAAAAATTAAAGGTGTGATTTTGAAGGAAAAAGGATAAAACCCAGAACTATATGTCGTATAGAATTATCTTTATGCTTCTTTCTCTTTTCTATGTTTTTCTCCCTCTTAATATCTGTAATATGTTGACCCCAAAATACTACACGGACAACTCTCATTTGAATCCTAGGCAAAATACTGGAGCACTAATGCCCGTGAGATTGAAGGTGTGGTATTGGACAAGAATGGAAAGGCAGTGCATCGGCTGTTTGGGAAATGGCACGAAAGCATCTACTGTGGTGGCTCCTCCTCGTCCGCCTGTGTCTGGAGAGCAAGTTAGTACCCGGGTCAATCAGCCCTGGGCAGAGAGCGGGGGCATGGCCCGAGGAACCACAGATGGGCGGGCATCAGTGCCCATCAGTGTCTGCCGCCTGCTTTGAACTATGTTCGAGCTATTGGCCCTTCTTCCCTTCACCTAATCATAGCTCAGGCTCATTCTCTTGCTTATCAACAAGACCTCAGTTGGGCCTTAGGGCCTGTGTCCTTAATCCCAGAACAAAGCCATTGCTAATCCATGGTCACACTATCTTCCAATCAACGCACATCATTCCCATGCCTATATTGGGCACTAAGGAATATTGGTAAAGTTCAAGAAGTCATTCTAGAATAAGACAGAGAAAAACGTTACTGGCAAAGCATGTGACCTGAAGGTTCTACAAGAGTAGGTCTCCCCCAGATTCACCTAATACCACGAGCCACTCTGATCTATCCTGTCATTCTGGAAGGATGCTGAGCCCTTGAAGCAGCAATGAGGAGAAGAACAAGGGAAGCCAAACCTTCATAACATGTCCACAGAACATTTTAAGACTTTAGATCATCTCATAATCTGATAAATCTGTTTCCAAGTCATGGTCATGTTATCAAACCTTTGTTCTGAGAGACCACTGTTAGGATGCTTTAGACTGATCAAAAAAAAAGAAAGAAAAGAAATGAGAAAACTATTCTAATAGTGGCTTAAACCATTAAGACATGGACTAATACTTAAGGGAGGGGGTGAGTGGTCCAAGGGTTGTTGGCAGGTAACTTACCTGTGTCAAGAGCACCGATCCATGAGAGCACATCCTGTCACTCCCAGTCTGGCAGCGATGTGTCCCCTCGGGGATGTGCAACAGTTGTCATGATTCAATGTCACGTCCCCATGTGACAGTTCACCCAGCAGGGAGAAGGGAAGACAAAAGAGCTCTCTTCGCTTTTGCCTCTCTTTTCTCAGGAATGAAATATTTCCTACGATCCCCTAGCAAACGTATATCTTTACATTTTGCCAGCCTGAAGTGGGTCCAAACCCATCCGTGCACCAATCCCAGATAACTGGGTAGGTAGGAGCGATTCAGGTGGGTTTAGGTTCATCCCCTAGGGAGGGCACAATGCCACCTGACCAGAGCAGTTTCCCATTGGCAAGTAAGAAAGGGAGATGACGTAGAGGAGGCAACCAACAATGTTTCTTCCAACGAGTTGCAGCCACATCCTCCTCCATCACAGAGCTTGCCTTGAAGCTAGCATGAACTGGCACAGTAACCATCTTAGCATCAGAGGTTGGAGGCATGCGTGAGATTCTGTGAGTGACACACACTCTCCTTTGCTTAAAGTTCGTATCCAATCTTTCTGGATGTTAAAGAAGTACCTTGATAAAAAAAAACACTATATAAGGTGTTATTCTTATTGTCATTGTTATTCGCTGAGTTTATATCTCTGCCTTGGCTGTGAGCACCCCTGGCCCATCTTCAAGAAAAACTGCTATCTTCGCTCTGGTGGACAGAGATTGGGGTGGGTTTTTGCAGGCACATTAGGAAGCTTGGCTATTAGTTTCATGTTTATGATACACAGAGAATTAGACCTAGAGCTTGACAGAGGGACTTCTGAAGCTTCAAAAAGTGGTCTGTAAAAAAGTTTGTGGAAAGCGCTTGTGTTTGATTATGTGAGCTCAGGCTATGAGTGAATTTATTAGTCTACATCTGATTTATCCAATATGGAAATTTAGATATTTTTAGCTGGAATTCAAGTTAAGGCAATACACCCACATTAATCTGCTTGGGCTGCTGTAACAAAATACCACAGACTGAGTGGTTTAAACAACAGAAATTTACTTTCTCACGGTTCCGGAGGCTGAGAAATCAAAGATCAAGGTCCTAGAAAATCTGAGTTTCGGTGAGGGATCTCTTCCTGGTTTGTAGACAGCCTCCAGATCTGGACTCCACATTTCTGGCCACATTTAACTTCCTCGGAGGCCCCATCTCCAAATATAGCCACATTGAAGGATAGAGCGTCAATGTATGAATTTTGGGAGGACACAAATATTCGGTCCATAACATTCTGCCCCCTGGTCTCCCAAATTTATGTCCTTCTTACATGCAAAATATATTTTTTTCCATCCTAACGGCCCCAAAAGTCTTAACTCATCTCAGCATCAGCTCTAAAGTCCAAAGTCTCATCACAATGTCATCTAAATCAGGTGTGGGTAAGACATGAGGTGTGATTCATCCTTTCTAGCTGTGAGCCCACGAAACCAAAATGTGCTTCCCAAAATCAGTGGTGGGACAGGCCTAGGACAGACATTCCAAAAACGAGAAAGGAAAGAAGGAAGAGGTGACAGGCCCAAGCAAGCCTAAAACTAGCAAGGAAAATGCCATTTGATCTCAAGGCTCCAGAGTAATCCTCTTTGGTTCAATGCCCAGCCTTCTGGGCCCACTGAGGCAGTGGCCCTGCCCCCATAGTCCCCACCCACAGCAGGTGGTGGCAGCTTGGCATGTTGAGGCTGCAGCAGTGGCCTCGCCCTTTGAAAGGTAGAGGCAGCCTTGCCCCCTGGGTCTGTGTAGTCTGGGCCTGTGGTGGGAGTGGCAGCCTGATGATCTCTGAGTCATCTTCACTTTCAGTCGTTCCTCTCTTTTCTTGAAGGGTAACACATGTTCACAGCCAGATAGCTCTACGGTCCCATCCTGTAAAATACCAATGGTCCAACAGTCTGTTTTCTCTGCCCCTTTGGTTCTAGATGGCAGTGTTTCTGCCAGTGCAATCCATCTCTATTCCTGGCCTCTGCTGAGATGGTCTTAAATTAAAATATGTGCGATTTGAAGAAGCAAGAGTTAGTGAAAAGAAGGGCAGGTAGGAAGAAAAGAGTAACATTTATTGACTACTTGCTAGAGGTTCGGCACTATTTTAGGTACTAGACAGAGTTTCAGAATTTAACATCTCTTACGTGAAAAATTCTCGAGAGTGACAGTCTTGTTAGTCAGGAGAAATAGACCTCAAGTTCTTTTTATCATCTTTATTTGTGTAATAAATTATTTTTATAGCTTAAACAGGATAGAAACTTCACAGTGTTTTATAAATTCACTGTATGACTACACAAAGGAGGCCTTACCCTTGTAGGCAGAAGAAAACTTACAGAGGAGAAAATTTATGGGGAACCATTCAGTTCTTATTTGCTAGCCAGACTCTTTTAATAGAATTGGAAGAGTTTAGAGCTGAGAGAGAAAAATTACAGCTGGTCTGAGATGAAAAAGGTGAAGGAATTAAAATGTAATGTAAATGAAATGCAAGTTAGGGATGAATGATCTCTTTTTCTTTTAGATCCCATGCCGAAAGGCTATGAGCAATACTATGGCTTCACGCAGTTTGCACTAGAATTAAATGACATCGATCCGTTGTGTGTGTCTTCATTACCACCTACCGACACCCGATTTAGGCCAGACCAAAGGTAAGGATTTCTTAAAGCTCTTTATCTCTAGAGATGTAAAATTTTTTTATAAAAATTCCTATTAACAACTCCCAGGCCACCAGTGGATCCTAAAAGAGAGAGATAATGTTACCAGGAGTAGAGGTCCGAGGGGACTTTAAGCAATTATCTGGAAGGAATGGAGCCCAATTTAGATCTATGTGTGGCATGACTTTTATTCATCAGTAGAGCCCCAGTTCTATTGAAATATCAAAAAAAGCATTTATTTCTCAGAGTTTAACTACATACAATAGAGATTGTCTATTTGAAAGAGGAAAAAAGCATCTGGCTCCCTTGACCCCTTGAATTTAAATTATTTTGATGCCCTGAGATATAATATCTGATTCTTTGTTTGCTGCTAACAAGCCATGTGGCAGATGATAAGCCTTTTCATCTTTCCCAGCCTCAGTTTCCAACTCTGTAAAATAGAAAGAATAATCTCTTCCCTAAGGTCTTTCTAATAAGACTCAAAACCTAGAAGGGGAAAAAAAGGTAAAATTTGACTTTATTTAAAAAAAAAAAAAAACACATACAATACCACCCTTCTTCATGGCAAAGTAAATAAAATATATACCCAGAGTCAAAAGATAAATGACAAACTGAGAAATCTTTATTTGCAACTCTTTTCATAAATTGGTTCTGGAAATTAAGGTCAATGCATTAAAAAAAATGGACATAGAAAAATGGATATTTCACAAAATAAGAAAGGCAGATATCCCTTAAACATATGAAAAGATGCTCCATCTCACTCAAATAAATGCAGATTTTTTAAGCCACATTGACATATCGTTTGTTTGAGGTACCCGAGACCATGGGAAAAGGCAGTCTAAGAACATTGCTGGTGGGAATCTAAATTGCTGTAATCCCATAAAGGGCAGTTTGGTTATATCCATATTACAGATTCACCCTTTAACTCAGCAATTTCACTTCTAGAAATTCCTCCTTACAGACTTTACTAACCCACATGCAAAATGACAGGTAAACATGGTCATCGTAGCATTATTGTAACATTTAAAAAGTGGGAACATCTCAAATGTCTAACAGTAGGAAATTGTTTAAATAAATTCAGGTATATCCACACAGTTGAATATTATACCACTATTAAAAAATGAAATGCCTGTATGTTACCAAGAAAGATCTCCAAGATACATTGTTAAATAAAAAGTAAAACAAAACAAGAAACCAAGGAATAGACACTATGTGTCACGTGCTACCATTTATGTTTTAAAAACAGAGGGAGGGGTAAGGCTATATGTTAACGTTTGTTTATATACATACCAAGAATCTCTAGAAGAATGTGCTGGAAACTAACTACCAGTGCATTACCCGTGGTGGGAACGTGAAAATGGGCGGGATGGGGAGCAAACGGTACAACTGGAGACAAGGATGAGAGGGAGACTTTACCCCAGGTTCCTTTTTAAAGACATGATTTCTTGTACCATGTATATATCACCAATTCAAAATATCTCCCCTAACTACCTCTAAGGCATGGAGGAGGGGTCGTATGTCTAGAGAAGCATTTGGAATATCCAGTTTGGACACATGGCAATATCAGCAGTGATGACTGTTATATTTTCACGGAATTCATAGTCTTTTTTTTTTTTTTTTTATTTTTTTCACCCTCCACGCCTCAGGTTTCTGGAAGAAGGGAACTTAGAAGAAGCTGAAACCCAAAAGCAGAGGATTGAACAGCTACAGAGAGAAAGGCGGCGGGTCTTGGAGGAAAGCAGCGTGGAGCACCAGCCTCGGTTTTTCAGGTGCGTGCCCCTGGTGGGTCCTGGCGACACCCGATGGTTCCGGTTTCTCGTCACATGACGAGAGTGAACAGGTGTGTCCCCTCCCCAAGTAAGAGCGGTCTGGATATTTCTCCTCTTTAGAGTGGCCTGCTGTCTGAGGGCCCGACTTTCTGTGGACACCTGGCTCTAGACTGTCCCTTGGCCTGTCCCCCGTGGCAGTGGTGTCTTCCTTTTTTTGGCGTCCTTCATGCTTTCCCAGCTGCCCCTCAGAACCTCACCCCAGGAGTGGGCAGAGGAACTGCTCAGTTAGTGCTTGTGGCAGAAGCAATGAGACCACCCTAACCTGACTCCCAGTACCAGGCCAGCTTGCTAAATCCGTGTCTGAACTTGGTCACCCACCTGGGTCTATTTTACACAGCGACAGAGATAATTAATGGTCACCCCACCGGCCACCCAAATGGGAAGTCCAAGTAGTCCGATTTTGACCTGCAGAAAAGCCTATACACTTTGGCTTGGGTTTAGAGCATTTATTGTTTGTTTTAAAATGCCTTGCCGAGAAAGTCTTGTTAAAAATAGACTTGAAGCTGTAGAAGGGGCATCAGAGAGCATCAGCCCTTCACCACTCTCTTATTTTAATTGAGAAGAAATGAAGCCCCAGGGAACAGAGAGGCGAAGGACCCAGTGGAAGGTTCTAGATCGGGGCCTGGCTCTTTGACTACCAGGCCAGGGCTCTGTATGGTTTTAGGGGTTTTGTTATTTATTCATTTCTTTAAAATTAACATTAAAACAGGCACATGTAAGAGAACATTTTGATAATTGCCACATGGGAGGGCGATTAGGAGGGTGGGTGAAGGGGAAGAGGATTAGAGGTATAAATCGGCAGTTACAAAATAGTCACTGGGATGAAAAGTATACATAAGGAACAGACTCAACAATATTGTAATAACTATGTATGGTGTTGGCTGGGTACTAGACTTATCAGGGGCATCACTTTGAAAGTTATATAAGTGTCTAATCACCATGTCATACATCTGAAACTTATATAGTATTGTATGCCAACTGTAATTGAAAAATAAAAAATATTTTTTAAATATATTAAAATTTTTTCAAAAAGAATTTTTAGAAAGGCACATGCTGAAATTGCTTAGGGAAATTTTTTGTTTGACATGGTTTCTTAATGGGCAACAGAAACACTTCTGGGAGGAATTAATTGCCACTTTATCACAGCAGCAATAAAGTATGTGTTCCAAAACAGCAAAACAACAAGAAGTAATGTTTTCTCCCCAAAATATAATGCTTTTTTTCCCTGGAGTTCATGTGGATTTTGCCAGATCCCTTCTGATCATTTCCACAAACTCAGGATGTGAGCTATTGAAGAGCAGTTGGCTCATTTCATCTCAAAATGTTCATAACTTTGTTTAAATATTTTAAAAATAAGACCTTAAATTGTTTTTTGAAAAAGGCAAGGGATAGATAGATACTCGGAGAGATTAACAGCCTTTACAACTGATTTACTGATCAACTGATAGGTATACACATATACCTTTAAGTAAGTCGACTCTTTTTTCCCCCTATAAATCATCTAGTGTCATTTTTTAAATAAGGAAAATCTACATTTATGAACATGTCCACTACAGTATTTTTTAGGATCATTAAAAATTATGGGTAACCGAACTGTCTCAAGGACTAGGTAAGGAGATCCGGCAAATTGATGTAACATGAAGGCATCAAAAATGGCCTCATGAAGTTGGTGGAGCGCCATGGGAGACAAACGAGCCTTTACATGCAAAATGTGAAATGCCGTCTAGGTTGTTGCCGCAAGCATCTGCGAATCCTTTTGGAATAGAAAGGGACTGAAAGCAGCTGTAGCTGGGTGCCTGTGGCTCTTTTTCCTTTTGATTGTCTATGAAATTGTCAGAGTATTGGAGGTGGCCAACAAAAAGTTGGAGAGAAGGCAAGAGTTTCTCATCAGGAGGGGCCCCAGCAGGGAGATGATGGAGAGGCATGGGGGGCTCGGATGTTTCCACTGACGTCACTGAGGAGCAATAAAAAACATCACTGGGAATTTCAAGTGAGAGCTACAGCTGGAGTGGAATCGAGCCTCTTTGTCTCATGGTAAAATACCCAGTGTGCAGATTGGCTCATTTTAAACACATCCCTTTACTGGAATAGGGAAAAGGTAGGAGGAAAAAAAAATCGGTGTTCCTGGAAGTGTGGAGAAACAGGCACTCTCCACTTTTGCTTTGAAAACAGATGGCAGTATCAGTCACAATTACAAATTACCAATACGCATATCGGTTGATAGGAACAGCCTGAGCCACCTGGTCGATTTTAGCTTTTACGTAGTTATACCCAGGGAAGTGGCTGTCTTCTCACAGAAGCACCGTTTTTGGCAGCTTCCAATTTTGAGAAGTCAAAGTGAGAATAAACAGAGTGGTTTTCAGGCTTCCAAGTTCCCTCGCAGCTCCAGCACTGGGTCATTAGGGAAACTGCGTGCACGCTCGAATGATGGTGGGGTGGGGGGCACCAGGGAGGTAGAAAGAGAGAGAGACTAGTACTGTGTTTTCAAGAGCCTTCAGGAAATTCTTTCTTCTTTCACAGGAAATCAGATGATGATTCCTGGGTGAGCAACGGCACCTATTTGGAACTTAGGAAAGATCTTGGTTTTTCCAAACTGGACCATCCTGTCTTGTGGTGAAAAAGGAAAAAAAAAGATGCATCCTTTTATTTCTTCTGTGTTTGCTTTCTGAAGCCACAAACCTGCATCTCTATATTTAGAAGATATTATCTAGAATGATCACTTGTGCTTAGCTTAGCGTTGTATTTAAGTATATATTTTCTTCGGTGGGTTTCTTTACAATTTCAGAGGTTATCACAATTGTTTATATGAATGTAGAACACCTTGATATTTCTTTTTATACATAAACTATTTAATAAAAATGAAAGATTAAATGTTAATGTGTGGGTTGAAAAAGAAGCTTTAACACTAATTTTCCAAAGGCTAGGGAAATGCAAATTTATGCCTTATAAAATTATGTTGGAGGAAGAAAATCCACCTCTCCCCAGTGCATTAAGAAATAAGAATACCCAGGGTTACTCGCCCACATACGTGTAAGCTACCCAAGTTTAATTTGGTAGCTCAGATCTCTTTTTGCCTCAGACAGCTCTTGAATTGCTCATACGAAACAATTCTGCTGGTGCTGGAGTCCGAAGAATATTTGCATTTGCATTTTGGTGGTTGAGAGGATGGTATAAGTTTAGCAGAATGTATGTTTTTATATAAGATGCATATGGCACCTTCTTGAAGAGGAAGCATTTGAGCTCATCCCTCCCTATAGTTTTATTGCCTTATGGGCACAATCGTACCCTGCTACTCAGAGAAATTGCCGTGAATCCAAGAAATCCCTATTAATTAAATGTCATCATGAAATCCCAGAGAGGCAGTAGGTAATTTCTCCTGGGTGAGAGCTGAATCCCACCTTGTTTGATCACATCTCTGTTGAGTGTGGAAAGTCCCAGTTTAGTGTAAAACGTGAGCACATTACACAAGCAGTTTGACTTTGTAAAAGTTTAGCAAAATAACTGTTTTAAAATACTGTTTTGGTATTTCCTACCTCTTAATAAGCACTGTATTTTAGATCTCGTGTAAAAAATTTGACCATCTGCCTTATAGACAAACATAGAGAATTGACGTTCTTTCTTCGTGCTGTGTTCTGATAAAGCTTTAAGTGTCTTATCCCTTTCCTACACTTTTTTCTTACTTGCATCACTTTTTTGGGAGTTTTGCAGCCGTCTTGAATAATACAGATTATGACTACAAAAAGGGGAAACTTTGTCTTTTTAAATGTGTCATTTCAAATTACAATATAAGAATGTGTGCGGTAGTTAAATTGTGTTATCAAAGCAATTCCAACTTCTGCCCAGATTACATTAAAACCAAAGCCTAATTTTTAAGCCTTTTACTCTAATATCCCTAAAAATTCTATGGAGTATCAGATAAAATGGTATAGTATAAGGATTTCTCTCAAAAACATTTTTAGATATTTAAATAGATTCGGAGCATATAGAAGGTTATGAATAAAAAGTAGAATAAATAACAGAAAAAAAGAATGCATGATTTTTCAGTGTCACACCAAATAACCAGTAGGACAGGATTGCATTTTCAAAATGGAAAGTTGTTTAAAGAGGATCAGTAGCATATTTTGGAATCTGCAAGTGACTGTCATTTTAAAAACAAAAATTGGCTCATTAAATATTGCATTCATCCATTCCATTTTATCAAGATGTCAAGATGAATGCAATGTGAATATCATTCCCATTTCTAAACAATTAAATGACACAGTCAAATTCCTTGGTTTGTGCTTTGTTCTTTTCTTTTCAAGCATGTATCCAAATTTTGCTCGCAGACAGGAAGAAGCAGACTGTAGATTTAAGGGTACTCAAGGGGAAAACAAATCTAGTTTTCACAATGTGAAGGGGAATGCAGAATTTTAGTAATATTGACTATTAAATAGGCCTGCTCCAGAAGCTGGCTCAAAAAATAAACAAAAAACAAAAAGTACAACCCAGACAGATGCAGCTTTGTCAGGCAGCATTTGGAATTTCTTTGTCTCGATGCTGTTATTTCAATTGATATTTTGCTTTATTTTGGAATCACAAGGCTAAGTGAACGGAATATCATCTTTGTTACTATCTTATTTGAGATGGGGAGGATGTGGGGGATTAGAACATGATACAGAACTGTATGCAAATTTTAAAATCTGCTAGTCGTTACCAGCATCTATAAAGAGCTTTTCTGACATTTGAACAGCTTGGTGATGCAGCCTGATATAATCTTAAAATTACCTTGAAAGGGAAATGGCTTCTTTTCTCCTTCAGTCCCCATTTTTGAAAGCACCTTCCCACTAATTTGTAACTGAATGGCATTTTATATTTCTAAGATGAAGAAAACAGAAACACCCTATTGTTTGGGAAGAAATGAGGGAAAATCTAATTTTCTGGATTTTGAATCCCTCGATTAAATAATGCTAATCTCTGTACCATTTGAGATAACATGTTTTAACCTCCATTTTATTCCTAACAGTCCATCCCAAATTTGTGGTGAATGACACAGGTCTTCTTGGAAGTGGGACTTTGTGCGGTCCACCACAAGCCGTGGCCGCTACCCCAAGATGCAGATCTGTCTGAAGAAGAGCAGATCACTTCTTTCCCCGGGCTCCAAAGCCTGGATTGGTATTTCCCTGAGTCAGATGTATTAATCAAGTCTCAGTGCAGCTTTTCTGTGCCGTTCACCTGCAGGAAGCCAGGCTGGTGCTGGTAGTAATTACACAGAGTTCACTTTAGGACAACAGTCTAGCTCTCTATCAGGCCCGCAGAATGCCCCAGTGAGCTCTGCAGTCTCCATGTGCTTCCTGTGGGACACTTGAAGAGAAAAAAATATACAAACCAGTTTTTTAAATGTTTACTTCTTTTGGGCTGCTGCTTTTCTCATACTCTACTTTTAATTACTTCCCATAAATCCTTTGCTTGGGCTTCAAGCATTGTCTTTCATCTGTATTTTCCAGATTTATGATGAGGTGTCTTGTTCTACTATTAACAATGTCAATCCTAAAAGAGAAATAATAAACTACAAAGTTTGTATTTGGCGGTTGCACCTTGCCGTGGGTCTTCTACACATTCCCTAAGTCATTTATGCCTTCCGGCTATCGTAGAATTTCCTCAGACCTTTTAGTTATGAGTAGAAGCAATAAGAAGTTGTTCTTATGATCTTAGGAATAATATAGTTCCAATGTATTGACACCATTTATGTGAATATCTTTCATTTTGATATTAACATTGGCATAAATCTATTTTTGCTACCAGATGATAGCTATTTTCACGTGCTCGATTCTTTTCTGTGTTATATTAATCTGTTACTCAGTGTTAGTCTTTATTTTTCTGTGTTGGAAATACGTATCATAAGTATCTGCAAATCATGACAGTCTGAAATGCAGACCATTTTCTGAGACTGGTTTTGGGGAATGCGATGATCAGAAGTTGCTCATTTATTTTATTCGTGATGATTTTATCTTCCTCTGTTACCCTCAGAGGATAGTATTTTTTTAATGGCTATTTGTAAATCTTCCATCTAACCATTTACAAGATTATTTTCTGTTTAAATCCCACCCTTTCACCCACCCCCCTCTGCCTCTCCCAAAAGCTTCCCCAAAAGACTAATTTGTATATTCCCCTCATGCAGCTAGTTGACTGAATAAATAACATGGAAAAGGCCACCTTTGTCTTTGTTTTTAGTTAATGTGTAAATGTGGCTGCCGAAATTGGAGAAAGCAAGACTTTGGCGTAGGCTGTTTTGAGGAAGAAACACACCAGGTTACCCTCGATTAAATAATATCCTGGGACATAAAGAAACTTGGAAACCATAAGTCGCCATACTTTTGTTCCCAATATTTTTAAGGTATACTACAAACATGGGTCCCCCAGCCCTTAGCACTAAGGACCTGGCACAGCCAGAACCCCAGACAGTCCCCAAGGAGCCCCATCTGTTATCCCAGCATGCTGTGGAAATAGCATTATTTTCTGTGTTTCCCAATATGAAGAAAGAAAATTCTGACTATTCATACCAACCTAATGGCCCTTACAAAGAACTGACTCATAGAATTTCCTAAGTTGTGTCTTTTGCAATGCCATAGACACTTAGCCTTCACTAAAGTTACATTTGATTCGGTTGATATATTTATGATGTTACACAATGCACAGGATTACAGTTACACATATAAAGTCACATCTCTGCATCCCTAAAAACACGAGAGACAACCAAAAGCAGTTCATGAAAATTGATTGGATTCTGGCTTAAAAGAAAAGAAAACTAAGCTATAAAAGACACTTTGCGGACAATTAGTGAAACTTGCATATAAACATAATGAAATGATTGCTAATTTTCATATCTGCATTGTGATATTGCCCGTTCATGTGAATCAAATCTGCCGTCAAAGGAGGACCATTATCCAGCTTTATTCAAAATAATGTGTTATGAACACTGAAGGAGATCTTAAAAGGCAATCTCAAAATATTTTAACACGTTGGCCATCACTGGAATAGGTATTAAAGCGTCCTAAGGTGTCGACTTTGAGAAGGCAATAAAATTTGGAGGCACAACTTCCAAACCATTAGTTTACAAACTCAGTCATATTATCTTCGAGTCTTACCGGTGGATACCAGCATTAGTATAGCTAATGCCATCAGTGACCAGCAAATCAGGACATCACTGTCCTAGCTGACCAGTCAAGGTTGTCTTATTACAGATGTAGTAGTTGGAAAGAGATTCCAGCCTCAACTGGAGTTCAAGAGACTTAAATGAAGGGTCTGCTAGTGAAGACACTAGGTTTCAGGCGCACTAGTACCAGCCAGAAGTCGTCCCTGGCCCTGGAGGGAAGGGCAGCTGCAGTCGTGGGGGGTCCTGCGGCTTCTGCCAGAAAGTCCAGACCAAAGTAAGAACTCACTGGGCCCTGGGCGGGGGGTGGGCCCAAGAAAACAGAAAAACAAGCACCTGGACCTTCCGTTCACCAGAATAGTTCAGTCTCAGCTTCCAGAGGAATTTATGGTAAATAAACTTATAGTAAGTAAATAAGCTTGATAGCCTTTTTAAAATTTATTTATCTATCTATCTATCTATCTATCTATCTATCTATCTATCTATCTATTTATTTGGAGTGGTTAGGATTTGTTCAATTATTTTGGCTCCAGTTATTTTACCAAGAATGAATTGGGATTAACTGTGCTTTTTAAAAATCTTTTGTTTCTCCATGGTATTATTGCTGTTATAACATTTTTAATGAGCTAAGGGTGGCCTCTTTTTTAGTAAATGCTGTAATTTAAACAGATACCAGACTGGGAAAGACATATCAACTTTAGAAGTGAATCTCAAATTTGGCTACTATCCTGGGGGTGATTTTACATACGCACACGCACACGCACACGCACACACAGTTTCCCCAGGTGGCTCAGACCCGGACGGCCCCACATATTCTGTTGACCAGCATTTGTTCTTCACTGAGCTGAGACGCCACCTTCTAATGTCATGATTGTTCCAGGACAATAAAAGTGGCATGTTGGTAAAAAACTCTTTGTTCTTTTTCATAAAGTTTTGTATGTTGCTTTTGTACTCTCCGTGACATGTACGGACAAGGGCCTCATCGACCTCTTTCCCCTGTGACACTTCATGGGTACTTTAAAAGGGGCTTGAAGACAGGAAGAGCCAGCAGTGACTGTGAGGGATTCTCTGAAAAACAGTGACTGAGCCAGGAATGGTCGCAGTCGCTGGAAATAAGCGGGCCTCCGGGTCGAGGGCCTTGAGGTCTGGTGGGAAGCCGGTGGGTCGGTGACAGCCATAGTGCGTTAAGAAGGCTCCATAATGAAGGATGCCCAAGTGATGTGGGGAGAGGCGACGGCGCTCAGCCAGGCTGCATTCGGACGTGGACCTCAGACAGTGAAGAGAACGAGAGGACCCGCCAACCAGAGAGGGCTGGGGGAGGGGGAGGCATCGCATGTGACTCATGGTTCCTCTCCCTGCCAGTTAAACCACAGTGCTACTTCCCAACTAGCCTCACCGTGAAATTTACAGTGTGTCGCAATATCTGCTGTTTCCTCAGCCTGGAGGAAACTAAGGGTGGGGAGTGGAGGCGGGCGGTGCTCGGGTGCCCAAGCGGACCAGGGGTGGCCAAGGAAATCACGCCCGAGGACCCCACTCCTCTCTCTACCGCAAGATCACATAAGCTGCCACCTCTAGAGTTTCCCCTACCCCGCCCCACCCTCGCCCCATGAATCCAAACAATCTTCGTGAGGAAAAGGGAAGCTGAGCCTGAGGAATCTGAGAGGTCGAGCACCTCTCCAGAAGTGACTGAGCATTACCAGAGCAGACTATCTAAATGATCTGATTAGACTAAATTTCTTTATTTTAATTTTTTTTGTTATGGAAAACTATACATAAAACTTGACCTTTTTAACCATTCTTAAGTGGACAGTTCAGTGGCATCCAGTGCGTTCCCACTGTGTGAGCATCACCGTCTTCCATCTCCAGAACTTTTTCATCGTCTCCTACTGAAATTCTGTATCCATTTAGACTAAGCTTTAAACAAAATTGGACCTTGAGTTAATTTCTTTCTTGCTAACCAACAGGGGAAGGGCTTTGCCAGGAAGATGAGATCAGTTATCGACAAGATGAAAGCATTATGTCTTTCTTGCTTGTGAACTGTAGGGTGAGTTACAGTTTTGCAAGCCACTACAGAAGAGCCCTCTCAGTGCCATTTGGGCAATCCCCACTTAACAGAATAGTGTCCAAGGACCAGAGGTTAAGTGACTTGACCAAACTTTCAGAGCCCATAATAGCATTATTGGACTATGAGCGTGTGTTTTACTTGTTTCCCAATCCAGCTCCTTCTGCTACAGAATGAGATGCAAGCAATGTGGTCCCAACACCCTCGTCCCTTCCCAGTTTAAGTACTTGTCATTTAATTTTTGTTCCCGAGGTTTCCTCAGTCCTTTGAACCTGACACAGCCAATTCAGTGATTGGAAAAGAAGCACGGGAAGGGACTTGGGAAACCTAATTCTAGTTAGTGGCAAGACATTAGGTAGGTCATTTACCCTCTGCAAACTTCATTTAACGCCAACAGCAAAAGGGCAGATTATCATTTAAGTTCTCTCTATGCTGCCACTCAGTCATCTCAAGATTAGGTGGAAATGTTACTCGGTCAATCAACAAATATTCATGAAACCCAAACATGTGCCAGACACAGCCTCTGAGCTCATGGAGCTTGCCTACAGATTTCAGAATCAGCCCTAAATCATTCCTTCCTGTTTTATCCTGAAAATGGGGATTATTTTGGCCATATGGAAGAATTACATTGCATGGTTGGAAAATGCCGTCAGCTTCTGAATCATTGTGTTTTTGTGGAATCAAACTTATCCAAGTGTGAACAGTTGCTGCAAAGCCTGTCGATGGGGTACTTTGCCTGAACATGTTCATCCAGCCAACAATACAGGGAATATAGGAGAGAGAGAGAGAGAAAAAAAAAGTCAAGTTTCTGTTCTCCCGGAGCTTAGAGTCTAGTGGGGCAGATGATGAGGGTGGGGACAATGAGCACCTAAACAGATCAGTGTGGGGCGTGACCGATGAGAAAGTGCTGGGGAGGAAAATATTCAAGGACTGTGGGAGGACATGGCTCTTTCATGTTCTACAGAGCGGTAAGGGAGGGTTTCGCTGATCCAGGACTTGAAGGGACTTGAAGGAAATAAGAAGGAAGAGCTTTCCAAGCTAAGGGAATGGCAGATGCCAGCCTGAAGCAAGGGCGCGTTCAGGGCAATTTGGAAGGAGGCCAGTGCAGGAGCAGCATGCTGGGAGTCAATCAAAGTTAGGGTGGGGAGGTGCTCGAGTCAGAGGACTTTGTCTTCACTCTGAACGAGATTAAAAGTCAATGAAGAGTTTTGAGCCAAGGAATGGTATGATTTGACTTAGGATTTTAAAGGGTCATCTGGCTGTCTGGCGGAGACTGAGGATACAGGCAAAACCAGGCAGCCGAGCTCGAAGGTGATTACCCTCATCCAGAGAGGGATGCGGTGGTTTGGACCAGGGCCGAAGTGGAGGCAGAGGGAAGCAAGGATCAACGGGGTGGGCTGATGGGTTGGATTTGGGATGTGGGAGAAGGAGCGAGGTCAGGGATGATTCCAAGTTCTGTGGCCTGAGCGTCGAAAAGGATGGAGAGGCCATGAACTAAGACAAGGACAGCGATGACTAGGGCAGCTTTGGGTGCTCTGGTGAAAAAATTAGGTGATGACTTTTTCCAAGAGGTGCTCTCAAGTAGGCCGCTGGATATGCAGGTGTAGTAAAGGATAAGGCAGCAGGTTTGTGTGTTCAAACCCTGCACGTCTGAATGAAGACGAGACTGGCCCTCGACCATCTCCTGAGAGATCCTCCAAGCCTTCGGAATGTTGCTCCTCACAAAAGTGGTTCTATACTCCTGGGACTTCAGGCCATGCCAATATTTTATGCTGCAAAAATGATTTATAGTGGAGGTTCAGGGCCAGGCTATGTCAGTTTGACCTCTGGAGGGGCTGGAGACTAAGGACCTAGGATCAGCCTCATGGATGCTCCACGCCAATGTGGCCAACCCTGGACACCAAGGCTTCCCTGGTTGACAGTACTCTGACCGTGTTGTCACAGATAGTTGCAGGGCTTTCTAATGTGAGAAATCCTCCTCTGTGTCCCTCACCCCCA